ATCATCATCATCATCGTCATCGTCATCGTCATCATCATCATCATCATCGATGTCGCCATCTGCAGCATCACCATCATCATCAGCAGCGGCATCATCATCATCGCCAGTGTCATCCTCATTATCATCATCGACAACATCATCAGCATCATCATCAGCATCATCATCGGCAGCAGCAGCATCAACATCAGCATCATCAGCATCATCATCAGCAACATCACCCGAACAAGCATCCGAATCCGCATCACCATCATCACAATCAGCATCCTCGTAAGCATCGTCATCATCATGACAGGCATCATCATCCTCACCATCACCATCATCGTCATCGTCATCATCAGTATAGGCATCATCATCATCATCATCGTCATCATCGCTGGCGTCGTCTTCATAGTCACCACTGTCATCACCAGCATCGTCATCAGCAACAGCGGCAGCATCATCACCACCGTCATCACCAACTGTATCACAATCATCCTGAACAACACCATCATCGTCATCATCATCATGATCCGCATCAACATCATCATCAACATGATCATCGTCATCATCATCACCATCTCCATCATCATCATAATCATCATCATCATCATCATCGTCATCGTCATCGTCATCGTCATCATCATCAGCATCATCATCATCACCATCACCATCATCATCATCATCATCATCATCATCATCATCATCATCAGAATCATCATCATCATCATCATCATCATCATCATCATCGCCAGAATCATCAGCATCGCCATCATCATCGTAATCAGCATCGTCATCATCGACGCCACCGTCATCAGCATCCTCACCAACACCATTCAGAAACAGCGACATCATCCCGGCGGGCGGGGAGGTGCGAGGAAGTGCCATGAGGTGCGAGGGGGTGGGAGCGACGGCGACGCCTCTCCCTCCTCCTTTTTCCTCCTCCTCCTCCTCCTCCTCCTCCTTCTCCTCCTCCTCCTCCTCAACCTCCTCCTCCTCCTCCTCCTCCTCCTCCTCATCATCATCATCAGCAGCATCATAGTCATCCCTCCTCCTCCTCCTCCTCCTCCCTCCTCCTCCTCCTCCTCCTCCTCCTCCTCCTCCCTCTTCCCCCTCCTCCTCCTCCTCCTCCTCCTCCTCCTCATCATCATCATCATCATCATCATCATCATCATCATCATCATCATCATCATCATCATCATCATCATCATCATCATCATCATCATCATCATCATCATACTGTTCCTCCTCCTCCTCCTCCTTCTTTCTCGGCGCGCAGGGAGCGATCGCAAGGCCCCCCTCGTGCGCACCAAGGACACCCCCCCAGAGCGCCGACATGGTGCTCCCAGGGCGCCCCGCAGGTGCTCCCAGTGCCCCCAAATGGAGCGCTCACAAATCGCTCCCAATGGGATGAAGCATGCCCAGGGCGCTCCCGGAGCACTCCCAAGGCGCTTCCAGGGAATGCACTCAATGTGCTCTAGGGAGTGTTCCTGGATCATTCACGCGTGAGCGCTCCCAGGGCGCCCCCGCGCGCTCCAAAGGCGCTCTCACTGGGGCCCTAGGGCGCCCCAGTGGGCGCGCCCAGGACGAACGGGGAACGCTCGCAAGGAGCGCTCGCTCACAGGGCGCCCCCGGTGAATCCACAAGAAACGTGCCCAAGGAGTCCCACCAGCACTCTGGGCGAGAGGTGGTCTAACGAGGGCCCCTCTCCTCTTCCACAACCCCTCTTCCCTTCGGGGAGGGGAGCCCTCCCCCTCCCCCCCTCTGAGGTTTTTTGGGAGTTCCGCGATGTGCCGGAGGCTCTTTTTCGGCCATTGGGAAAACCATTTTTTGCCACCCCTCACGAGGATCGTGGCCCCGAGAGGGGGGGCTAAACCGAGCACCCTCTCTCTTTTGACCAACCGCCTCCAAGATGATCCCAAGAGGCTCTCCAGGGCTTCCCGGAGGCTGTGTATAGGGACGCGACCGATGGGGTCGATCCTATGCGGGTGTCCGCAGGTAGAGGCAAAGGAGTAAGAGGTTAGCTATTCATTTTTCCTGGGCGCTGTGCGGAGAGCAGCGCGGTCGGTTGTTCACGCCAATCTGCCAATACCTGAGCCGATGCGCTACTGGCATATGGCGATAAAACACTGATACGAGGAGCGGACTTCACGCACACCCCCCGTCCCGATACCCGCCAGTTCCACGATGGCCTCGGGCCCCCGGGAGACAACGGAAGGCCTCGGGATGAAAGGTGTGGGGTCCACTAAAAACACCGTCATATTGACCGCACCTCCAGTCGAGGTCGCATCGACGAGGGAGGTGAGGGAGGGGCCGGACCCCGCCACGCGGGGAACTTGGGGGAACTTGGGGGAACTTAGCGGGCCCACGGCGCGCCCCCCAAAAAGGATTCGGCACACCTGGGCGACTCCCCATCACCGCAGGTGACGAGGCTGGGAAAGCAAAGGAGAGATGAGAAACCAGAGAACATTACTGCATCCTTCGACGCAGGTGTCTTCACCAGCGCACGGTGGCATGCGCGCAAAATACCGCAAATCAGAACGCGATGGATCAGTTGATACGACAACTCGATCAAGGTTAAAAGAGATCTCTCATTCACCGAGCACCCCAGGCCCGGAATTATTGTCGGGACTCACCAGGTCCAAAAATAAGTGAAGAGCATTAGATGGGTCGGGCGGAGGGGGGGGGCGATGCGTTAACGCCCTGTTTTCTCATTGTATTAAGATAGTTGTGGGAACAACCGGTCCCGGTAAGAGTAACATGCAGAGCGTGGGGCCCCCCAGGCCCCCAAATAATATGCGGCGTTGGCCAAAATGTCAGCACAGCGTGAACGCTATGCTTCGGTCGTGTTCAGACGCCTCCCCCGGATAGAAAATACGCAAGTAATGTTGCAACGCAAATTACGGCGATCGTTTCATCGCACATGTGTATGACAAGTATGCTTCGCATGTGTCAGACCCTGTCGCTGCCGACTTCTCATGAACAACAACTATACCGATTCGACAATATAGTAGGCGGGCGACCTGCATGGGCCGCGCTTCATCCGATCAAACAGTCAATAGAAAACCGTTATGTATGGATCAAACGGTCGGTCAGTGGAAGACCCGGTACTATGGATCAAACGGTCTGTGGAAACCGTCTGGTTGTTTGTCTTCAGTGTTGATGTCTCAGACTCATGATATCGGTTATCCCAGATACGATTGCCACGTTGATCAATCCAACTAATGGTATGTACCGTCCACAGCTTTGTGCTTTTGAACTGTGCTGTGTTTGATGCGGTATCCGAGCTCAGAAGTGAAGGTGGCAGTGAGTCTGGCTGCGAGTTTGCATGGCGCGAAAGTGATATGCAACGCGCAGTACGTCTCCAAATATTCACGGTACCAAAACCAATGCGAAAGAATTTACAAAACGATACACAACCATGCAATTCAAATCAACAAAACATATATCGGTCACAATATGCGGGGCCACAAACGTTTGCTACCAGTGTCAAGCTGTCGAACAGCGAGAATAGCAATATTAGCAGTCCAAATAATTGCACAAACACTCTTTTCGATCTCGATCCATGTCGTTGAGATAGCACGGCCCGTGGCGGTATGTGTCGTCGCTGTAGTGCTCGAGGCGTGCAGCCCCGCCGCTCCAGTCTGCTTCGCCAGCGGCGGCGGTGGAAGAAAGGGTGACGGGGTAGAGCGGGGGTTGGTGACCGGAACAATCGGCAGGCAAGTATGCGTCCGATAAGAAATCGGAGCCCAATTCGGAATCCGCAATTCGAACCGAATCGGAGGAATCGAAACGAGCCCTGCAAGGTGGGTTTCTGGCTCTGGTGCCCGCTTGTGGTAGCCCCGCAGCGCGCGCCTGCGCCTCTCGAGCCATAAGCTGCGCGCTGAAGGCACACCGCCAGAGTTGGGGGCGGGCGGCCATAACCCGTGGCCTCGGCAGCTGGGGGGGTGCTGTGAAGCTGCCCGAAGAGAAGGAGGAGGGAGAAGGCGAGGGGGAGGGAGGGAAGGAGGACGAAGGGTGGGAAGAGAATTGAGCAAGGACCGACCGTCCCGGCCGACCGTCACGGCATCCTCTGAGAACCCCAAAATGTGCTGCTGATAACAAAGACAATGCTCTTATGAAGGGGCCCTGGGACACACAAATAAAGAGACACAAATAACAGGATTCCGCATAGTTTGTGATATTTTCTGGGTTTTTGTCTTCCCCCCCACTTCCCATATTTTCCCATATGTTCTGGGGAATCGACGATGAATTGTAGACCATAAACCCGATGTGTTGGCATAAGACTGTCTCGGCCAGAAATGGTCTGAGAACATGCCCTGCAAACCACATAGGGTTCTTAGAACATTCGTTGGTGGGCATACTACAGTGGGGCCGGGCGAAAGGGGGGGATAGCAAAGGGGGGTTCGCGTGGCTGATTTTCCCGGCGCCTCCCGCGGCGCCGGAGGCGGCCATGTATCGAGGAGTGGGCCCCTCGGTGGGGCCGACACCAGCTGCATGCAGCAAATCTCGTAACCCCCTCCTTTCCCTGTCCCCCCCTTTCGCCAAGCCCGAAACAGGCAGGTCGAGACGCCTCGCCACTGCTTGGGAGCAGGCGGAGCGCCCACCGAGGCGAGGAGGCGACGCCTCTCCCCCATGCCCCCGACTAACCAGCCTCGCACGTATCCCTATCCCTAAGATTAACAAGCCAAAACTCGATGACAATCTTAGGGATGCGCCCTCAGAAACGGAGGGAATCCCTAAGTTCAGCATCGAGATGAGGCGATGCCAATCATAGGGATAAGGATATTTTCCAGGCTGGTGACCGACGTCATGCTTTTTTCATTACGTCGACCCCCAGAGGTCCCGACCCTTTCCCCTTGACCGGCTTTGCATCACGAATAATTGTTTGACGCTCCCGAGGCCCGGCGAGGGCCCGCGGAGGCCGAAAACGAAGAAAAGCCTCCCGTCATGATTTTTGCATTGCTCGAGGGGGTCTGGGCCCGCCGAGGGCCCCCTGGCCGGCCGGGGCGGCCGGGGCGCGCCTCTCTGCAGGAGCAGGTCCACGATGCGCTCCTGGACGGTCCGGCCGAGGGCCTGCGGGTTCCGTGCGGGCGGCCCTCGGCGGCGCGCGTCGCCGTCGTCGCCGTCGTCGCGGCCGTCGTCGTCGCGGCGAGCACCAGACCTGAGCCCTCGCGCTGCATGGCTCCCTCCCTCCCTCGCTCCCTTCCTCTTCCTCCCCCTCCTCCCTCCTCGTCGTCCCTCCCCCCTCCCCCCTCCTCCCCCCCCTCTCCCTCCCATCCTCCACCCACTCCTCAGGCTCTCTCCTCCCCCCCTCTCCTCCCCCTCCCTCCACTCCTGCCTCCACCTCCTCCTCGTCCTCCTTCTCCTCTTCCTCCCCTTCCTCCTCCTCCTCCTCCTCCTCCTCCTCCTCCTCCTCCTCCTCCCTTTCCTCCTCCTCCCTTTCCTCCTCCTCCTCCTCCCTTTCCTCCTCCCCGTGCCGATGCTGCTCTGTGCGCTCCTGGGTGGATCGTCTGGGGGCGCACGGGGCCCCAACGAGCACCCCGTGGCGGGGCGAACAGCGGGGCGACAGCGGCAGGGGCCTCCGGAGCCCCCCCCACCAGGCCAGGTGGCTGCGTAATCCAATGCCCAACCACCTCAGTATGCTCTGTGGGGGCAGCCCTGGTGTTCGGCACATTCATTTCGGCGTGTTCGTTGGGCTGATATCGTTGACGTTTGAGAGACGTCCCCTTCCAGTGTGCATCGCTGGTGTAAAGCATGCGCACTTTCAGTGCATTCCTGAGCAGTTGGCCTGAGGCAGAGGGCATCAGGCCCCCACCGCGCATCCGTGGACAGGAGCGGGAGGGCAGCGGGGACCAGACAGAGGCCAGGGTACAGAGGGACCCAGAAAACATTGAAGAAAGAAACCCGAGACGATAAGCTCTCTCCGGTTATTTCTTTGGCAGTGGAATCGGCAGGGCCGCGTCGTGGCCAGGAATGGGGAGTGTGTGTGCGGGGGGGGCAGAGGTGTAGGGCTATCTAAAACTTACTCGCCCCATTCTTAACTACACAATTGTGGGGCGCACCTCGCTGCCACTGTGCCCCCACGTTGGCATACGCCCGGGGTTCACAATCGTAGGGCGGCCACTCGCCAAGGAAGGATCAGGGCAATTCCAACTGTGACGCGCAAGCGTGGGTCGTTCTTAACATTGGTTGGGTGGTTTTCAGGGGACTCAGGTGGTCCCAAAGAACGAGGTGGCTGCTCAATCTTCAGCCCAGCCACCTCAATAAGTGTTACTGTCAGCCACCCGTCTGGATGGGCGAACCGACGGCCCCACCAGGGCGGTTAAGTTCAGCCCGAAGCCCAACCACCTCGGGAAGTGTTGCTGCTAACCGCCTGGCAGGATGGGTGAGCCATCGGCCCCGCCTGGGTAGACACAGTGGAGGGGCAAAACAAAAGCCCAACCACCTCGGGAGCCGCTACTGCTGACCACCCGTCAGGCTGGGCAAGCAGAGAAACACCGGGCCCCGTCAAGGAGATCGGAAATGGGCATCCAGAGTTGACTCAGCCGATGTTGACCCCCCCCACCGCCGCCGCCCCAAAGTCAGCTCAACGCCCATGGGAAAAATGCGCGGGAGGAGTGGGGCCCATCATGGGTGCCCAGAGCGGAGGAGAGAGAGAGAGAGGTATGTATATATGTATAGTTATACATATGTGTATACACACATATATATATATACATAGCTCGCGTCGTCGTCCTGGCCAACAGCTTTCGGGACCAAAAGGGCCAGGCGGATGAAGAAACGGATGCAGGCCACTGCGGCAGCAGGGGCGGTCCTGAGACGCCCCCTACCTTTAAAGAAAGAGTGCAGAGTAGGCAATGCGATGGCACTGGGGAAACTTTGAGCACAATGGCGTCGGATGGCAAGCGCTCAGAGAGCGGCGGGCAGACAGCCAAGTACGTCCGCATCCCCGACTGTGCTAAGCTGCTAAACACCTAGTTGTTCGAGCACCTAGTTCGCGTCGTCGCCCTGGCCAACTGTTTGGGGCAAAGAGGGCCAGGCGGATCAGATACGCAGGCCAACGCGGCAGCAGGGGCGGTCCTGAGATGCCCCTTGCCCGACCCCGAAGGTACCTTTGGCCGAAGGCCGCATGTGTAACGTTCTCAGTGCGAACGCGCGGAGGGCCTGAGCAGGCTAGATGGGGCAGAGACTGGACAACGCAAGAGGCTGCGTCGGCGGCGAGGCGAGAGGGATACTGAGCCGCGACGGCGGTTCGTTTCTGACCCTTCTCGGCGGCTCCCACAAGGATGAGGCGCCGGTTGCCAGTCCTGCTGCAGAAGCCGCGGCGCCCCGAGCAATTTTTTTCGAGCGGCAGCGTGACGACAGCACCCCAAGCACAGATAGTGGTGGCCTGTCTGTAGGGCGTGCCGCACTGGCGCTGATGCAACATGACTTGCGACAAAGACGCGCCTTACAGAGACGAGCCAGGGCAGGGCCAGACCGCAGAAGTGAGGCCTGAGGATTCTCAAGAAAAGCGGGGATACGGGCGGTAACGCAAGCAAGGCACGGATCAATTTGACTGTGAATCGTAGGTGCCATTGCCGGCATCAGTTCGAGCCTACTCACAGGAGCCCACATCTGGAAGGCCCATGGGGTGGGGTGAGGGGCGGAGCGGTCGCCTGAGCGCTCGCGCCCAGCTCGCGCACGGCGCGCCGATCCAGATAACGCCCGCCGCCCGAGAGGCCACCCGGCCGAGGACACGGGACTGGAATGCGGCCGCGGCGTGGTCCTCCATCTGGCCGCGGTTCCAGTCGAGCCCGAAACCAGCGAAACCCAGAGCGTGCATCGCGCCAGCGATCGTGCCGGCGCCGCAGAACAGCTCCAGCATGGGGCGCCGGCGAAGACGGAGACCAGGAGCGGGCGCCCGCTGATGCCGTCTGCGGAGGTGCCGTCGGATGGCCCCCGGGCTGCCCGAGGCCGTCGATGCGGCGCCGCGGGGCGCCAGCGCGCCCGCCGGGAGGCGACGGCTGGCGCCCCGAGCAGGGCGGCAACCGCGCCCGGGGCGCACGATCCGCCCAGTCCAGGCGGTGCTGTGCACAGAAGCTCACGGAGGCCAGCGGCGCTCCAAGGTAGAGCTTCTCGGTCAACGCCCGCGGCGCAAGCCGATCCAGCCCGGAGAGCCCCAGGACTGGTGGCGCCGCAGCTGAAAGCTCCACGGCATGGCGGGCCATCACATCTGGCGCCGAGGCGGCGGGCGCAGCCCGCCTCCTCGAGGCCGTTGCGGCCTGGAGGAGGAGCCCCCGCAGCCAGAACCGCCGCGCGGTCAGGCAGCCCCTCGCCGAACGGCACAGGCGCTGGGCGGGGGCCTGAGAACCGCCCAGCGCGCACGCGGCTGTGTCCGTCGGCCGGGTTGGCCCCCGATGGGATCCACCTGACTGACAGGGCCGAATCAATGGCACCGGGGGGCGCGTTTATCCTGCGAAAGAAACTCTGGTGGCGCCTGCTGCGAGCCCTGCCCTTCCCGACGGCTAACACTAAGGGCACGGTGTCCGTGAAAAGGAGAATCGGGAGCCGAGTGCCTAAGTGGGCCTCAACAGATGGCGATGCCCGAGAACATGCGCCCCCCCTTCCAGGGCAAAAATGTCGGCCTGACCGTCGACGCGCACTGCCGCGGTCGAGCCCCGAGACCCCACGGGACACCACGGGACACCATGGGACACCGCGGGACACCGCTAGGGCCACCGCTAGGGCCACCGCCGGACGGACGGACGGACGGACGGACGGACGGACGGGGGCAGCATTTGTCTTGATTTCGCCCTAGCAACGGCGGGTTTGGTCCTCTCGCGCGCCCACGCAATTTCGCCTCGCCCGCACAAGCGACACGAACGAAACGAAACGATTTCCCGCTTGGGGGTCTCAATTCCTTTGCGATCTCACCCCCCAACCTCCGATCGTTCTTAACAGTTTGCGTAATCACACCAGGTATCTTTTGACAAATTTAACATCTTTTTCTCGGGTATCCCCTTAGTCCAGACCTCCCGCGTTCAGAAGACCTGGGGGCGACCATGTGGGGTGAAATGTGTTTGAATTGTGGTTGCGTTGCCGTGGCCTCGGCACTTTGCATTATGGTGCGTTGTCTTGCAAGGTCGCTTGCGTGAAGGCCGTTTGCGCCAGAAGTACGTTCGCGGCGCACCGGCCAGCCAAGTGGAACATGCAGCCACGATTGTAAACGCGCCCATATACAAACGGGTATAAAGTTTCAGGCGAGCGAGCGCGCTGTTTACACACGGGCGCCTCGCAATCGCGATGAGCTTCTCAACGACATGAGCATGCTTTACTATGGCAATCCTTCTGGTCATGTGTCCCAGTTGAAACCCATTTATGTTGGGGCAGGGAAACACGCACGACGCCCATCATGTCGTGTAACAGCTGAAAGGGGGAACACAAGACACAGACCCAATTGCAAACCGCAATGGTTAGGACACGCAAGTCGTAATATTTTCCCCGTGGCCGATTCGACAATCTTGAAAATCCTCCCTTTCCTCCTCCTCCTCCTCCGCCTTCTCCTCCTCCTGGTTTTCTTTCTCCTCCTCCCCCTCCTCCTCCTCCTCCTCCTCCTCTCCTCCCCCTCCTCCTCCTCCTCCTCCTCCTCCTCCTCCTCCGGCCCAACGCGCCCATTCCAGCTGGAGTGCGCGCGCGCGAGGGAGCGCGCGGGAGCGAGAGGACGAGGAGGGCGAGGGGGATTAAGGGGGAAGGTGGGGGAGGGGGGAGAGAGAGAGAGAGAGAGAGAAAAAAGAGAGAGAGAGAGAGAGAGAGGGCGGGAGGGGGGAGGAGGAAGACGAGGAGGCCCCCCTTCGGCCCTCCTCTCCACCCCCCTCGCGCCCTGGCGGCGTCGTCGTCGTCAAAACCGTCGTCATTGTCGGCGTGCTCGCCGCCGTGGTCGCCGCTGTGGGCGTCCCCGTGATCAACGCCGTGACTGACGTGTCGTGGCCATCGTTAGGTCGGGCGTGTCCCCCTATACAGGCGGTTTTTTGTACGAGAAATTCAAATACTCCCAACATGCCCCAAAAATGTGCAAAAATTGTAAAAAAAAAAAATCGTCCCCGGAGTATTGTTTAACTATTTTTGCATATTCCCCCTGTAGAGGGACAGGCCCGACTTCAGGCCATCGCCAGGATCGACGGCATCGTCGTCGTGCCCCTCCCCCCGCCCGGGCCTCCGCGTGCGGAAGCGGGGGCCCCCGCGTCGGATGAGCCTGGGCGGCTGGCGGGGGGGGGCAAAGGAGGAGGAGCCAGGAAAAGGAGGTGAGTCCCGCCTCTTCCTCCTCCTGCTCCTCCTCCTCCCCATGCCCCTCTTCCTCCTCCTCTCTCTCCTCCGCCCCTCTCCTTCCTCCTCTCCCCCCTCCTCCTCCTCCTCCTCCTCCTCCTCCTCCTCCTCCTCCTCCTCCTCCTGCTCCTCCACCTCCTCTCCTGCTTCTCCTCCTCCTCCTCCTCCTCCTTCTCTTCCTCCTCCTCCTGCTCCTCCTCCTCCTCCTCCTGCTCCTGCTACTCCTCCTCATCCTCCTCCTCGTCCTACTCTTCTCCCTCCTCTCCTCCTGCGTTCATCCCTCCTGGAGGGGCAGGAAGGGAGAAAGCATGCAAAGGACCAAGACGAGGGGGGGACGATTGAAGAGGGCAAGGGCGAGCAGGAGGGCGGTGGGCGCCGAGGGCAGGAGTAGCACGAAGAGACAATGGGAATTCTCGCAAACATGAAACGGGGACGACGACGAGAATGAAAAGGAAAAGCGAGGAGGGGGAGGAAGGACCGGACCCGAGAAGGGGAGGAGAAGGAAGAGGGGAGGAGCCCTGGGGGGAAGGCGAAAGGGGAGGAAGGAAATGCGATAAGGCGAGACATGGAAAAGCGAGAAAGGGGGGCAAGAAAATGGTGGAGGAGGGCAGGCATGACTAGCAGCACCTAATAGACTGGCAAAAGGCTCGGACAGGGGCGACAGGGGCCTAGGGGCACGCGGAGAGCGAGAACGAGGCAACGGACCGGAAGGAGGGGGATCAAGAGGAGAGAAGGAGGGGGAAGAAAAGGAGGAGGATGACGAGGACGAGAAGGGGGAGGGAGAGGGGAGCAGGAACAAGAGAGACCCCTCTTCCTCCTCCACCTGCTCCTGCTTACGTATGCTCCTCGTCCTGAGCCAGACGGCCACCGGGCAGCATCTGTCAAGAGTGGAGCGCGAAACATCATGAGAGCAACATTGCATGAATCCATGTTGCAACACATTTGACGATCGCATGTGTTTCTCAATCGTGGGGCTGGTGCGGGTCGCAATCCTCATGAACACGTGCGACGGTCAAGAGCCGTGCCTGGTGCCCCGCCAGCCACCCCTTGTTTTCCGGGGGCAGGGCAGGGCGGAGGAAAACAACAATGGAAGCGCCCGACCCTCCCCTCGGGCCGAGGGCGCAGATGGGCTGCGTGACGCGCAGCACATAGACAAAACATGTGTTAATAGATCTTTCACTGTTGCTCTGGAGAAATTATTCGCACCCATGCGGCGCAATGCTATGCCTCTCGCACCACACCGCGCGATTGCAACGAAAATGTAACGAATTTCGGCTCCAGGGCGGTCCAGCCGACCAGCCGGGAAGTTCGAATTTCGGCACCAGGGCGGCCCGGCCGACCAGCCGGAAAGTTCGAATTTCGGCTCCAGGGCGGCCCGGCCGACCAGCCGGAAAGTTCGATGCAACACACTGGAAGCAAATACAATGCAGCTCGCAACCACGACTGGATGCAAGGAGCGGCAGAAACGCTACACAATGCGATGCAATGCAGATGCTGGCCCTCGCAGTCGTTCCACCCTTTCGAGCGTGGGAACAAGCGGTCCGTGCACGCCCCAGGACAAGGCCGCCCCGCCTGCGCCGGGAAGGTCCCCGTCCTGAGCCAGACGGCCACCGGGCAGCATCTGTCAAGAGTGGAGCGCGAGACATCATGAGAGCAACAATGCACGAATCCATGTTGCAACACATTTGACGATCGCATGTTTTTCTCAATCGTGGGGCTGGTGCGGGTCGCAATCCTCATGAACACGTGCGACGGTCAAGAGCCGTGCCTGGTGCCCCGCCAGCCACCCCACTCATCCGGAGGTGGCGCCAGGCGCGGGCTACACTTAACACCGCCCCAGGACTCCAGCAAACTCCAATCCATCCTAGATGGCGAATCTCCCGGATTCGACGCATTGGCAACCCGACCATACCACGAATAAGCCTCAAGACGGATGTCCTCCTGCCAGATCATGCCGATGAGCTCCGCTGACGCCAACACTGGGGAATATCCTCGCACGAGGCCCCTGCGAGCAGATTCGTTGTCGATGAACTGGATGACTGGCCGTCCTGCAATCTTCTGCTCCCAAGTGTGGCGCGCGACGAGCGCTGGGTACAGCTCGGCCTGGGCGATCACCTGGTCCGTGCCTCCAACCCTCCACCTGTCCGTCCGCCCGAAGAACTCCAAAGAGTCGTCCCTCGGGTCCCAGATCGGCGCGCCGATGGTGACGCCATCGTACTCCTTGCCCTCCACGGCGCCGTCGGAGAAGACCACCAGTGGAGCCTCGAACTTGGCCCTCACAGTCCTGTCCTTGGAGTGCGCGAAGAAGAACTCCCAGAAGGCAAGGAGATCCCGGATCTCGCCCTGGTCGCACTGGATTCCCCCGCGCGCAGCCATGGAGGACAGGAGCTTCAAGCCCACGGCGCCAGCCCTGCCGAACAGGTTGGAGCCGGCGTACCTGAGGCGACCCATCAGGCTCGCAGCAAGGCCCGGTCGCATCCCCGACCCCTGCGCCTCGCGGAGGTCCTGGAGGATCTCAGGGATGCGGGCCTGCTTGTTCCTCACGGCGAAAGAGGCGTCGATGGGGGCCCTGGCAAAATCGAAAACGACTCCCAGCGTTGAGAACGATACGTCGAACGGCAAATCCTTCCCGTCATCCTCCTTCAGCCGCCACCCCAAGAGGTCCATGACAGCCTTAAGCGTAGTCTCCGCAGAGTCTGCCAGCAACGCCGGCTCCACCTGCGGAAAGTCATAGAAATAATGCGTCACCGCGAGATCGAAGATGTAGCACAAGACCCACTGCAGCCCCCGTGCGAGCCAGTTGAAGCCCCAGACAACGTTCCGAGCCCCGAACGGACAAACTCGCAGCTCGCACAGCTCTGGGGCCTTGGCCCTCGGGTTCCAGACGGCGACGACGGAGAAGGCAGCGAAGGACGGCCGGCGGTCAAGCTGCTTGAACGCCTTCCAGGGGTCGGACGAACGTCCAGCAAGGCGGTGCAATGATGTGGGCGTCCAGCTGGCGTGCACATAGCCCACCATGGGCGGCCCGTCCCTCGGCTTCAGCTCAACCCTACCAGTATCCCAATCAGGCGACGACAGCAGGGCCCTGGCCATAGCCGCTATCGTCCACGCCTCCAGGGTCAATCTTCTCGGACGTCGCGGAGGTCCCGTTGTGCCCGAACTCGGAGAAGTCGTCGATGGGTCTGTAATCGGAGCCGTGTCGGACTCCGAACCTCCTCGCTGGAACCCGCAAAGGGTCATGCGCCTCGTCGAAGTGCTGCTTCGACAATGGTCCCACTGCCCACCCGGCCTCGCACTCGGCAAGAGTCTTCTCGAAGATGACGTCGTCCATTTCTGGGTCGCCCGACGGCCGGGTCGTGGCAAGGGCCGCTATTTGAGCCCAGGGGGCCTTGCGGAAGAGGTCATCGAAGGTGGTGGACGCCTCGGTCTGCTTGGGCGGGAACACGCCCGTGGCTGGGTACTCTCCAAAAAGTTGACGCCAGCAACGACCTCACCTATCAACTTGCCAGGAGACGGAAACCCGACGACCTCCAACGCCTCCTTGAGGAGAAGGCGTTTGCCAGCGAGAAAAGGTCGGACCTCGACGTGCGCCCGGGCATGGAGGGCCGCCTCGGCCTCGTCCAATGCGACCGCGCGGCCCCTCCAGCAGTCGAGGCGCTCCTGCCGGCTCTTGGCGATCTCGCTCGCGCCCAGCGAGAGGACCCTGAACGCGGGCGCGCGCAAGCGATGTGGAAGGGCACCCCTGCGACCCCAGGGAGGCTCGATCTCCGTAGCCTTCTGGAAGAACTCGTAGGGGTCCAGGGGATGCCGACCTGCACAATGACGGGGCCCCTGGTGTGAGTAGGGGGCAATGCCGTGCCCTGTCGCGGAGCGTCGTTACCCAGGTTCCCGAAATCCGCCCCAGCTTCGGACAATCTACGAACCTGCAGTATCTTTGCGCCTCGAGGGAGGCGGCGCCCAGCCAAGGTGCGCTCCTCTGTGATGGGGCCCTTGTTTGCGGCAAGCCATATCTTGTCGCGCGTGGCGTCGGCGCGGACGACGAAGACGGTCTTGCACTCCGAGATCAACTGGAAGTGGCCCCTGCGAGGCTGGTCGGAAGTAAACGCCTTGAGGTCAGCACTAGCGGCAAGACCTGGCCTCGGCGTCGCGCGGCACCCTTTCAATGAAGAAGCCGCGAGAACGCTGTCCATTAGGGTGGACGCGTGCGCTCCGAGCCCCCTCGCGGCTGCCGCTGGCGCGACTATGGCTGCCCATCTCTCGCATAATAGGTCAGGGTACTCGGCCTCTTGGACGGCGTGGAAGCTAGTGAACTTGCCCCCACGGCAGGCCGGCCCTGACGGGGCGTGTTTGTGGTTCTTGGGGCAGACTGCCGCCAGAGCGCCGATCTCCCCGAAGTTGGCCATCAGCTGTATCCACTTGTCCCTCGTGCCGCCGTGCACGCAGGCCTGGAAACTGGTCGCCACGGTGCCGTCCGCGACCAGTAGGTCCCTGAAGCCAGGGGCGGCCCACAGGATGCTGTTCAGGGGGTTGTCAACAGAGTGCAGAATCTGCCGCTGGCGACATACGCTGATGGCCTCCAGCGTAACTTGGATCAGGGCGTTAGCTCTCATAACCCGCGGCGCCTCTGCACCTCGAAGTACTTCTGGCAAGCCCCAGGGGTGTTCCATGCTGCGGAGTGGGCGAGGGCACGGCGCCCCTTTCGCCCGGGCCCAGGCGGGCAGCGGACGCTCGCGGGCCCTGCTGAGCGCGTCGGAAGGGACGCAGAAATGAACGTGCACGACCGCCGGGTCGGAAATCACAGTGAAGAACAATTGGGCTCCAGACGGGGTGCTCAAGTCGATCGGTATAATGCCAGCCTTCGGGACATGCCGGTTGGTCTTGCGATCAATTCCAAAAACGTCAAACCCTTGGAGCTCCAGCTTCGCTGTG